CAAATATTTGTTTTTTCATATTTAAAAACGGTTCAGAGAAACCAACACCAAGAGACTGACTACACTATCCGTGCGTAGAACGGGACCACAGCTAGTCTAGAAAAAGAATTTTTAACACAGATTATTAAAGGTCAACAAATTAATCTTTTATAACATTTGTTATAGCTTTTGCCTTTGTGTTTTATCTTATTTAAACTATTATTGATTTATGTTGCCATGGATATTTAAAATAATAAATTCATTTAAACTTTGAAAACCGTTATTTCAACTGCAGACTTTGTTAAAAGAATTGACTATAGGTACCTGGTATAAACTAACGTGACATTTGTTTACGTGATCAACCTGTAAGACACGTAATTGGAAGATATGGAATTTGAAGACATGGAGTTGGAAGATGTGGAATAGAAGACATGGAGTTGGAAGATACGAAATAGAAGACATAAAAAAATACAAATTAAAAAAAAATTAATCACCATATTATTTTATGGAGTAAATAAATGCGTTACTCATAATGATATTATGTTACGTCTCTGTACGTTGTTTAGCTCATTTTTAAATTCCTAGAAATATTTTAGAATCAGGTAGGCCAGTTTATCAATGTTTCTGGAAAACTATTCCTAACTCAAAGTATTCCTGTTTGGTAGTTGTTTTCCTTCAAACAAAGGGGCAGTTTCTTTGCGTGTTACTATTGAATAAGCTTTCCATACATGAAATTCAACTATTTCAGAGTAATTCATAAATATACATTCAAAACAAAGATGAAAACAAAATGGGTCCAGCTATTCTATATGACACATTGGAGAAGAATTGTAAAATATCTATATATAAGTATAGATCTAATTCAGTCTTTCCACCGGAATAAAACAAAGATCCCGCACACCTGGCCAAAAAGTCCTTTTTTATCCCTCCACATGAATGTCATAAAATATCCTTTATGTTTATACTGGTTTATCTTATTACTCAACGTACTAAGATATGATTGGTTTATCCACAAAGCTATTAAAATCAGGCGTCAAGAGTCGGAAATTTTGTTTTATTGCACACCCCGTTTCCTACTAGTTGGCCTACTAATGATTTTTCAAACCATATTAAGTCTTCAGAAAGACTCAGCTCACATCAGCATCTAACCTCGAATGACTTGGAATGAACTAACTAAGCAATTGTTTCTGATCGTGGAACATGTTAAATAATCATTTCCAGACAGTATTCTCTTGGTGTTGGTTTCTCTGAACCGTTTTTAAATAAAAAAAAAAAAAATATTTGGCCAATTTAATTGTACTAATTGAATAATTAATCCTGATCTTTAAAATTCAGGGTCCAATGGAGAAATTCATGCATAATCCATGCCTTTTTTAATGGTCACAAGAATTCATGCATAATTCAAGCTTTTCAAGGTTTTCATGGCTGGTGGCAACCCTGAATGGACAACATTTAAACGGAAAAATAATTTACCCAGTATATTCTACAAAATAAACATATTGGTTTTAGAAAATCTACTATCTACTACAGCCACGTTTCTCGATTGTGATGTGAGTTATGTAGTGACAATGGTTTTCTTCCAGAGGAGCCTAAATAATCAAACCGCGACGATAGGGAATCGTAATTAAATTGGAAAAGTTAACAGGCTGTTTAATTTACATAAGATTCTAGTAAAACCAAGGATAGTATTAGTGTTAAAACATAAGCAAGGCAAGGTTTGTATAGATAGTTTTTAAAGGCCCTAATCTTTTAGGGAAACAAAATATACTGTATAGCTTGGCCCATGTGCCAAAGTAAAGTAACATCTTTTAAAATTAAAATAAAATCCCAATGTTTTTTATACTTACTATAAGTCTCAATACCATAGATTTTTGGTATTAATTTGAAGTCATGCAATAAAAAATAAAAAAATAATAAACCTTTATACAATCGTTAGGTACTACTGTATAATATTTGTGATAAAAGTATACATTCAAATAAACGTTGAAATCACCGTATAATAACTTATTATTGACGTCGTTAAATCTAGAGCTAATCCTATTCAACAAAAATAACGCAAATAAATACATTTGAACATTAAGTAGGCCTACTATAACCTGTACACCCTTAACAGTAAAGTGTTTATAAAAAAGTTAAAAGATAAAAAATGTGCAATTATTTGTCCTTACAAAATTAAAGGACATATAAATAACATTTATTCAAATATGGGCTAACCTAAAGTAATTTTTTATGTAGAAACATGTTTTTTGCAGTTAACAGTTTTTCCAAGGATTTGCATATATTAAATTGATGAAAGCCATAGTTTACGTATTACCATTTGCATTACAATAGTCACGTATTTATTAGAACAATCGCAATAATACTTATTGTAATGGATTGAAAGCTAATTGGTTCCAATTCAATAATGTGTCCGACTTTAACTAAGCAAATCACACTTATTAAACTAGACAATGAAAAATAATCGTATTATATTTCCGCTTGTGATATTGTAATAGAAGAAATCCTTGGCCCTATTAGACTGGTGTCGACTTGTTAAGGAGGAAAGAACATCTAAAACTGTTTCGGAAAAAAGGTCTAATCTAGATTCTTATTCTCCTAAAGCGTCCCCCCCCCCTAGAAAATACCTGGTTATGTTAAATGCAATTCTATTGTGGGAACAATAATGCCAAGCTAGTGTAAACGGTAACGATTAGGTTAAGGTGGTATTGTGCGGGGACTAATTATGAAGGCTTACGGAATTTCACCTATAGGTAGAGAATACACGCCTTTGAGTATACGTAGGCCTTAATCACAGTCAAGAGAAAATCCATAGTGGTATCTATTCTACATTAAAATTGACATTTTAAATATACAATTTAGATTTTTTCATAGCTAATATCCGCAACAAAACATTTTAAGATACTAAATCAGTTGTATTTTTAGCTCTAAAAATAGTTCGGAGAGAAATTGGGAAATTCAGTGTTTTAAGGGTAAAAAAAGATTTTACCCCATTAGACCCCCCACCCCATTCCCATAGTTTAATCATACTGGTTCGTTAACTCATTCAAACATACTTAGGTTTCCATGTTATTTACGAAATTTATATAAAATTGAATTATTTTGAGCAATTGAGGACAATAGGGACAAACACATTTATGTATAAACTTAAACAGATCGTGTTTTTGGCCTCTCGGAACAACAAAACGAAAAAGTAAATCGGTCTTGGTTCCATATCTAACCATGAGACCTACGGTAATAACCTTATCCCTTATATAGGAAGGGTCAACATAAAAATTATATTTACATACACATATGCATCAAATAATAACCACAAGATGTTCTACCTGATAAAAGTATTTAAGTTAAATAGTTGAATTGTACATAAGGCCCTTTAAACAAGGCAAATTATACATCTAATATTGCAATAGGCAATGAACAAGGAATAATTAACCAATAATTTATTGCCTGTAGTTATATAACCAACGTATTCTATGAACTATTCAGATTCGCGTCAAATAAAACATGGACTATTTATTTGCTCAATTCATCCACTTTTGTCAAGGCTATAAAACGTATTATACTCTTTATATTAAAATTACGAGAATTGGTCCAGACATGTACTGAGCTAAGCAAAAGTCAATTATTCCTGGCGTTTTGACAGACAATCAATAAGGTCCAGCTTTTGTCGTCCAGATCCTATTATAATGCTTATAATCCAACGATTGAAGTGTGTAGAAGGTCACAAATAAAACAGTCAATAAAGAGTATTTCTTTATAAGAAACCCCTTTTGGGGTTTGAAAAAGCAATTTTTTATTAAAATGAATGTGTTATGGTCCTTATAATTAAAAACAAAAATAGTGCACCCCCCATTGCTGTAAAAGTAACGGTTCAAAAAATTATAAAACTTTTGTTATTTTGCCTATAAATTATCATAGTTACTCCCACCGCTTAGCCATTATAAAGGTTATTGACAAGCTAATGGGAGAAAGTATGTGTCATATTGATGATACCATTTATATGTATTATGTAGAATACAATATTAGGATAAAATCTTGCTCAAATCAAATTTTGCTTTCTCGGCTCTATAATTCTCATTGGTAGTATTTCTTGTAGAATTTAGAAGTTGGTTAAAAAAAATATATGTAAAAAAAATATAAAGGCTGTGCCTTTGAAATCCTAAACGACTAAAAAACTACAAAATTCAGTTATGGCATTTTAATAAATATTTTATGGTCGTAAGCATGTATGAGAGCCTTTAAGCCTGTAAGGTCTTTGTGTAAGCCTTCTACACACTATAGTTTATGTATCACGGATATAAAGAAATCAATTAATACTGAATCCTTGCAAGAGAATCATTCCCTCCCAAAAACCTATACTGTAGTTGAAAAGTTGATTATTTTGTTTAGTAATGTTTAAGAAGGGCTTAGCTTGTACTGTGGCAACAATGACGGTTTAGCGGTTAACTTATCGAGGACATAATCCTTCCCCACCACCAAGCCCCGCCACAGAGAGAGAACTAAGACAGTGGGTCCAGATTCCAGATAGGTCAGGGCAGGAAAAAGGACAAGAAAGGTGCCCAAACAAGAAATGAGGTGGAAAAAGACACAATACCCGGACATTGTGAAAAACACAATATCCAGACGTGGACAAAGACAAAATACCCAGTAGTTGGCATAGACAATATACCTAGAAATGGACAAAGCCGCATTACCCGGTGGCAAGTAAAGACAAAATACCCAGAGATGGGCAAAGTTGCATTACCCGAAGGGGGACAAAGACAAAATAACCAGAGATGGGCAAAGACACATTATCCGATGGTGGATAAAAACAAAATACCCAGAGATGGGTGAAGACGCTAACCAGGTGGTGGACAAAGATAAAATAACCAGAGATGGGTGAAGTCGCATAACCCGGTGGTGGACAAAGATAAAATAACCAGAGATGGGTGAAGACGCACAACCCGGTGGTGGACAAAGATAAAATAACCAGGGATGGGTGAAGACGCATAACCCGGTGGTGGGAAAAAAGAAAATACCCAGAGATGGGCAAATACGCATTACCCGATGGTGAAGAAAAAAGAAAATACCCAGAGATGGGCAAATACGCATTACCTGGTGGTGAAGAAAAAAGAAAATACCCAGAGATGGGCAAAGACGCATTACCCGGTGGTGAAGAAAAAAGAAAATACCCAGAGATGGGTAAATACGCAATACTCGGTGGTGAAGAAAAAAGAAAATACCCAAAGATGGGCAAAGACGCATTACCCGGTGGTGAACAAAAAAGAAAATACCCAGAGATGGGCAAAGACGCATTACCCGGTGGTGAACAAAAAAGAAAATACCCAGAGATGGGCAAAGATGCATTGCCCGGTGGTTGATGTGTAGGATTCCTTTATAAATTAAAAAAGGCTAAACAATAAGTACAACAAATGAATTCAAAATAACTAACATGGACCTTATAGGTTGCTATGTTGTTCACGAAATAACAACAAAATATAAACAGAAAATCAAAACAAATTGATGAAATTCCAATCACATGTTTTATTTACAGCGTAGGGTGAAAATAAAAAAGTTTGCAAAATACATATTTTTGGTCAGGTTTTTCGACACGTGGCGAGCTCTCGTTTTCTAATAATGTCTTAGTTTTAAACGCACCACTAAAAACCGTGCAAAATGTGGATATTCCAGACACAGCAAAATGTTGTAAGTCTAGGTGAATATTCAGTGGGGGTAGTCAAATCACAGAAAAAATGTTAGAGCGAGAACCAAAACATAATTTTGCATTACCGGAAAATAGGTACTGCTTTGACATCAATCCTTGGTCAATTAAAATACGTACCGCTTTTCCCAACATAAGTCCTTAGCCAATTTAATAAAAATGCCTATTACTGTATAGGACAGCCCTAAGATAGGCAAACATCTAGCTTATGGTGGTTGAGCTATAACAATTGTATGAAATGAAAAAAGTTAGAAAAAACCTTGGCTGATGTTTTTAAATCTGATATATTTTTTCATGGATGAATGGGTAGAGATACTAAAATACGTGATAGGAACTAGGTATAGAAAAGACCCATCCCAAAGTAACAAATTGTCAATGTTATTTCCCGTAAGAATACCATTGGTGAAAATTCTCAATTTAGGGAGGATTTAAATGAAAAACCTACATAGCAAGAAGAGTACGCTTCAGGAGAATACTTAAACCATTTGTATAAACAAAATTTTTTGTATGGGAAAAGGGGGAAAATAGCTTTATTAACATCAGCTCAATTGAATCCTCACCCCTACACTTTTTGGCCTCTTCAATTCTCCCCCTTACTCCAAACTCCATACAATTTCCCGTGACACCCTTTCTCCGATCAACTAAAACCTTCAGACCTCAACATTTTGTTATTAACACTACTTTTGTTGCAGTTACGGGCTTTTGCTGTGATTAATACAATGAGGTGTAATTGCGTTTTACTTTTATTATACAACGTCACATTGGTATCGTCCATGTTACAAAATTGTTAACATTTAAATTACTTAACACAAGTTTACTTAACACAAGTAAAACTTCAATCATGAAGTTCTATATTTTTAGATCTTTTAATTGACCAAGGAACCCTTACTTCGGTGTCCTATAGTCAAATCCCGCAGGTAATTAATGTCTTTTAACAATGTTAAAATGCCATGAAAATCTTAGCCCTAAGATATGTGGGTGGGATATACAGGGTGATCAACTCAAGGAGGCCACCATTGGGATATCGGAAACGGTAAGAATTAGAGAAAACTTTAAATGGGGGACATTCCTTTATTTTTTGTGGCAGTTAAAAATATGAGTTTATTTTTTCGAAATTCAGCCGCCATTTTCCAAAATGGCGGCCAACTTTGAAATTTCTTATGGAACAACCTATATTTTATCATGTTTTCGGATAGAACAGGCAATTTAAAAACTTTTTTATTCATGACATTTTTTTGATAAACCCACTCGTTTAGGAGTTACAGCCTATGGAAAAATGACTTCCGGTATACATTTTACATCATGTAGCTCCTAAACAAGTAGGTTTATAGCGAAAATGCGAAAAGTAAATAAGTCAAATAAGTCTTAAAATTCCATCCACATTCCAAAAAGACCATAAAATTCTTTAAAACTATTAATTCTATTATTTCAAAAATGGCGGCCATTTTCCAAAATGGCGGCAAACTTGAAAAGTGGAAAACGGTGTATTTTATGGCCTTTATGGAATGTGGATGCAATATTAAGACTTCTTTGACTTATTTACTTTTCACATTTTCGCTATAAACCTACTTGTTTAGGAGCTACATGATGTAAAATGTACACCGGAAGTCATTTTTTCATAGGATGTAACTCCTAAACGAGTGGGTAAATCGAAAAAATTTCATGAATAAAAAAGTTTTTAAATTGCCTGTTCTATCCGAAAACATGATAAAATATAGGTTGTTCCATAAGAAATTTCAAAGTTGGCCGCCATTTTGGAAAATGGCGGCTGAATTTCGAAAAAAATAAACTCATATTTTTAACTGCCACAAAAAATAAAGGAATGTCCCCCATTTAAAGTTTTCTCTCATTCTTACCGTTTCCGATATCCCAATGGTGGCCTCCTTGAGATGATCACCCTGTATAGGCAAGACAATTTTCTTTTAAACTATTTTTTAAATCTTAAAGTCAGTAAAATTTAGAATACTAATTAAACCTACATTTTAATTTAAATGAAATAGATACATGTAATGCATTTGTAAATGCTGTATCCTCATACGAAATAAAAATATAGCTGGAATTGTTAGTTGTGTACAGGGCCAATAGTGAGGGGATTACCGTACGTTCCACCAGAGTATTATCGTGATCATAGAGCGGATATTAGTGATATTACACATTTATTTATTTCTTTTATTACAATGCTGCAAAACAGGATAAACCCAGTTACATTGTAGCATTAATATTCTAACAACAAAATCTTGACATGCATTATAAATAATAAATATGGTAAAAGTTCATCTTGCTGAATAAATTATAATTTTTAGTGTAATCACTCACAACAATACAATATGTGACAAAAACGAACTAATAGCAATAAATAACGTACAAATAAATATCTTAAAAAATCTTACACATGTCGTTGCCTCTGAAATATCCCGTTAAAACCTCCACTACCAGATTAATATATTTTTATATGTTACTTTATTGTATGCAAATAAAAGTTATAAACGTTTAAAACGTGTTATAATGGTTGTTGGGATCTGTTCTTTAGTGTTTAACAAAGCATGGATTTTAACATTTGTTATTCTATGCATTCGAACTCTATTGGCTGTATGCATTTTGACATGAAGGGTCTTAAAATGTTTGTGTTAAATTTTCACTTTTTAGTGCTACTTTTTCAATAAAAAGTGAAATAATATTTTATATTATTTTATTTAATTAAATTAATAAACATCGTGTCCGAATTATGGTCTCATACAAAAAAAGAGAACGATATATATAAAAGGTAATTTAAAAATTCATATTTTACTCAGATATCTGCCATATTGTTTATTATACTTGATCTTTTTACCTAAAAAATTCCAACAGATTTTTATTAATCCTGGTATGTATTTTGAAGTTAAAAAAATTAACTATCCTAGATAACATTAACGATTAGAAATAGATGACTCCACAATCAAATTTACCAAATTATGGATGGTTTAATAATGGTATATGTATTACGGTACGGTGATAAGTAATAACGGTACACATGAGCATTTATCTTTAATAATAGAAGCCGAAGGGTAAAAATAAAAGGAAGGTTTTTTTGTCAAACTAATCTAAATTATTGAAACTGTTTTTTTTTATTCTTTTAGTGATTAGTCCCATCATAACCTCTCACTCTGGAAATTAATTATATCAACGAATTTGTTTGCACAAGAAAAAAAGGAATTGAGTGTTGTTTTCTTGTTAACGGAATTGATAATATAGAATTTTATTAATATTTTAAGATTCTATTGATTTATAAAACTGAAATGATATAAGCAAAATGTCTGTTGGTGGCTTATAATTTTTTTTTCAATCATAAGAGAATTAATTAATTGTATAACGCATTTTTGTTTCGTTGGTTGTAGTATTATCATTACATGATTGTAATAATACTAGACGAGTGGGTGAAATTTAAAATCTTTGTTCAAGATAAAATTATTTTTATTTCTGCAATCTGTTTTACTAATAATAATAATAGAATCCTAATAATTGTTGAGCTAAACGTAAGATTATCGTTTCACTCCTAGACAATCTAATAAATATTGATATTCTTCGTAATTTTTGATAATATTTTTCTTTAAATGAATTCACTATGAAGAAATGAAATGGTAAATGTGTACAGCCTAAATCTTTTTTATCAACATCCTTGTAATTTAGAAATCCCCAAGCTGAAGAAACCAAGCTGCCAACCTTGCTCAGTTGAGAGTTGTAAACCCAGCTTTTTATACTCCACGCCTTTACGTGTGGATATTCCGAATGTTCCTTTTAACACATGTCTTATATCTCTACAAAAGATGATTTAAAATATCATGATTTCTTAAAATACAGAAAATATTTGTAGTATCTACTCACTTATACATGTTTTTTATTCTGTAAAAGATAAATGTACATTTACTTTTATAATAAAAATATTTAGAATCAGTTTAAAAAGTTAAGTGATACATGTTTCTTGACAATTTTTATGAAATCAATAAAGTGTTTGTTTGTTTTATAAATTCAATTTAACAGTTTATTTAGCAATAAAATGTTGTATGAAATATTTAACTAATCCCTAATTTACTTACAGTTATTTGAATATTGACGTACTGTCCAAACACTTAAAACCATACTCCCTATCAACTTTGCATAAATGTTTAAATAACCAGGCAATTTTTATAAAATTAACCAAGTTACTTATATTAGGCCGTTTAGTTCATTGCTATTCTGTTACATAATTAATCACTATCGCACTAGATGAAAACTGTTTTTCTAATGTAATATTTATTGGATTGCCTGGGCTGACAACGGACTTTTATCAGGGTGTGTTATGGTCGTAAGCCAAATTGATTGGTCTTAAACAGGACATTTTGCAATATGTTTAAAATACAGCATTCGTTTTGGAACATAAATTCTTCTCAGAAATATAAAAACGCATCATATTGCTTAGCAAACTAGAAGGGTATAATATTAACCAACCATTGTTTGGAAGTCAATTTAAATAAATATACTATAACTCATATTTTTCCCAAAAATAGTTTTTTTTTATCGTAAAAAAATATTAATGTGATTTAAAACCATCTGTAATGACCGAGAATTTGTTTTTATGTTTTATACTTTTTATTTATTAGGTTTGACATATCTAGATAGTATAATTTAGTAAAAGTTTAACTA